CCTTTTTCACCAATACCTGTTCTAATAATTTTCATCAACAGTAAAGACGGTTGTATTAGTTAACATACAAGCCTAAGAACAGTATTATCACATTTACAGTAAGTGTGGTGAGTGTGGGCACTGATATGCAGGTTTGGACTACGACCAAGCCAGAAAACGATGAGGTCAATTTTCTCTCCACCCCATAAAAATCTATTCTGGAATCCCTGCTGTAAACTACTGACAGCCACAGTAGTGTGTGCTGGTGTAAGGATTATTTTTTATAACTTTCCTCTTTTGGCCAGTGAATCATTCTTCTTGGTTTCTTGGTGTTAAGGGACAAAAAACGCTGTCAGCTGTCCTTCAGAGAAAAAAAGTGCTAAACACAATCTCGCTCCTGGCTATAGCGTGTGTTTTTATGAAGTTCTAGTTCCTCAAGGCTGTGTTATTTTGCTGCTTGTACTGAAGGGCTGTATTGAGCCGATTTTCTCCAAGTGTGCTTTTTGCTGGGCTGGAGACCAGAGACAACTCTGAGAGGGGTCAGAGGTCAGAGGCCAGCCGACATGCTACATTCTTCCAGGCGCCTGCGAGGACAGAGGGGGGCTGTGGGGGCTCGTAAAAACATGAAATGTGTGTTTGTCTTCTTAAACGCTGCTTAGAGTGAAGAGGACAGGGAAACCCAGAGACCTGCTGATGTTTTCCATGATTTGTAACACTTTTTCTTATCAATGACACCTTACAATTTACAACATGTTTTCATTACTGAAAACAGCTTTCCATCATCTACTGATCCCCAAGATTTAAAACTCCTGGGAACAATTTCTAAAAACTCATAGTCAATTAAGCAAATCATCCTTTTATAACAACTTATAAAAATAACTCTAATAGCAGAAATACACATTTTATACAAATTATTCCAGCAGAGCCTAATCTAGCACATGAAAAATAGACTACACTAAAATATCAGTTTCTACGTCATACTTGAAGCAGAGAATTGTAGAACAAAACATAACATAGTAAGTGTTATATTTATTAAAGTACTTTATTTAAATGTTTTAACTACTGATAAAAAACACAAAACTAGTAGAATTAATGTAACAAATGACAGCTTATCTTTTTCTGAATCACCTTCACTAAAAACAGCAGCAATAACTAACAGAAACACTTCATCAAACACTAGCATCTGTAAGAACAAAAGAAGAAGCAGTTTTGGTAGCTCTACTGTATCCTAAACAGAATTTATCAAACTATCTCCAGCTGACATGTTGCACATGCATTAGTTACAAGCACTGCAGGTTTCTAATAACCACCTCAGTAACAATCAGGTTATCCACAAACTGTGGTGCTAGGCTAGTAGTGTTTTTCCTTGGGTGGTCTGTAATTCACCATTTGGGACATGGGTCAGGAGCCTCACTGTTTGGCTTTATGGAACTGTACCTCCTGATGATGAGGGTGTCTAAACTAAGGAGAAAGAGTCCTTCCTGTCACCTGTTCTCTCTTAGCCTGGCCCCCCTGGCAGTGCTGTAGGTGCTGTATTAATACAGACCATTTGGGGGAAATGAACCAGACTGCTCGAACTGTGAAAGAGCCTCTCTTCCTCTGGTAGGAAGTGAGCAATCTGCCCTCCTTCACTGCCAGAACCATTCCTTGGAGATGACTAACCATACTGGAGAAACAATCCTACTTGATATGCCGAGGGACAGCTGTGTCTGCCCACTTTTCAAGAGCCTTCACTGCAAGTCGAAGTGGCTAACCACTCTCTTTCATTTAAGCTTTGAAAAGCACTTCCTTTAAAGGATTTCAAATGAAAACATCATTTCTGTATATACAATTCAAACGCGAAACCTTAAAGTTACTGAGACATTTAAAACCACAAATCATGAAGTGTTAGGGGTTGGCCTTTTTGTACCAGTACTGCAATATGTTGGCAATTCCAATATTTTCTGTTCCACTCCTCTCCGTTTTGGCTTTCAAGATGACTGGTGAAAACGTTGAAGTTGCCCAGCAACAGCTGTGTTAATGCTGTATACGTATTGTGTCATCCACGAGGCCTGAATCATATCTGGTCCCGTGCTTTTAAATCTATAACCTTTCTTATGCACAGCAGACCGATGAAAAACTGCCATTTTAAATGTGGTAACTAAGTATCCCAGCAGTTTTCACAAGTCCGAGTCAGTGGAAGTAAAGTTCTTTTCACACCCCGATTAGACTTCTGTACGGGTGCAGCCTGACGTCATGCAGATATTGGCTGAGCTTTTTCACACCCCACAGGTTCAATGTAGGGTCACAGAAGCAAATACGGCTAAACAAAGAGCAGATGCAGTACCATTTCATGCTCATTGCCACTGCCAATTCCTTTGATGTCAATATCTACACTGAACGTGAAATCTGATGTGATTCTGCTCCCACCAGGCTGTAAACGACATTCTGGAGGATCTATCTGTTACAGATGCATCTACTCAAATAGGTTTGTTGTTGAATTTTCAAATGCCAACAAGAGCTGACAAACAGTAACAACATGCAATAATAATAATAATAATAATAATAATAATAATAATAATAATAATAATAAGTCACAACAGCAGTGTATAACATCAGAGAGATCTCATTTTCACCTTTCACTTTTCACTCTCTGGTTTCTTCACTTGCTGGTTTCTTGGGTTCTGACAAATCACCACTAATTATGGCATTACAGTATCAATACTGTATCTATAAACAGCAAAAAGCATTGACATTACCCTTTGCAAAGCACTGGTTTGCAAACCTAAAAAACTGAAAATATGAAGGGTTGTACCACAGGAAATTTCAGATGACTTAAACCATTTGAAATGTGTGAATTGTGCACAAAACACCACAGAGAACTCAAATTTTTCATTTATTTCTGTCATTGAATATCAAATCAAAAAAGGTGAATAATTAATAGTACCCATGACCAGTTTTCAGAGAATCATTGGTTTGTACTTGACTTATGCTGAAGGTGCTGAAGGTAAATGTTAAAACATCTTTAACATTCACCTATTTATCTAGAGCATTTCTGTAAAGTTTGATTAACCCACTTTATATAAAACTGGTACAGCAGACGAGCTTCAGATTTGAGAATCTTTGAGATTTTAAGCCAAGGCCCTACTGTGTACTTGCAAAAGTAGTGCATAATTCACCCCTATCACAGGTCTCCTACAGGCTGAAAGAGCCAAAATATACTCATAGTATGTTGACTGACGTGTAGAAGGCCAACAAGGTGTCCATGGAATGATTCATAGAACCCCATTTGTTGGCAGAGATGTTATTAAGGTTTGCCTTGATAAACTTATGATTTATCAGCAAGTTTGTACTTTAACTGTGGATGTACTATATGTTCCCATGGTTTAAACAGGCTTTCACTATTCCCTACATCGGTGGATCATGCAAGTTTCATGAAATACCATGAAAAATGATCAAGGAACACTTACTAATGTAATCATGGTATCCATAATCATGGTACTGATCCCATGATCCAATAAAATAAGGCACAATGAAATTATGTTAGAAGAAAAGGAATCCACCTCTAAGTTACTGAGTCTTTTTCCACACTGATCTATCAGTTAGATTCAATGATGACACTCGAGTACAAATCAAGAAACAGTCAAACAGTTAAAATAGTGGTTGTAAATTCAAGAATAACCTCCAATTAAACAGACATGAAGTTATAACATGATACATGATGACACTGCAGCCTCAAAAGTAATAGGTTGGTCTCTTGTCTTGAAAACTGGAAGAGAATGTTGTTTCTCAGGGCGCATGTGTGTGTGTGCATACAGTATGTGTGTTACATGTATGTGTATGTGAGTGTGTGTGTGTGCATGCATGTGTGTTACATGTACAGTATGTGTATGTGCAGGTGTGTATGTTTTAGTTTGCTTGATAGTCCAGGCCTACATGACGTCATAGCTCCCTCTTCTGAGGATATTATTAAGCAGACACACGCCCAGCACAACTCCCAAAATCTGGAAAACAAACCAGCAAAAATGTGTCACGAGCCCTTCTGCACTAACCTTAAACTTGCAGGTTGTATAAATAATGCTCTGGTAAACACAGAGAGACTGAGGCACTATTCAGGCCTGGGAAGACACATGCATTTTAAATGTTATTAAAAGAAGTGGAAAGAAAAACAATGGAAGGTATTAAATTTGAGTTCTTGGTCTGCATAGCGCCTACCATTCAAATGAGCAAGATGGTCCAAAATACCTTCCTTTCATTTACAACTGTTGTTATTTTCTCATGCCCTAATGATTTTTTGTTGGTTTTCCCATTGCCTACCCAATTCTACCCAACCTAACTCTGGTGTCAGGCTAGTTCATGATCACAAACAGGACGATTGGCCAAAGGCAGTGCATGGCAAAACCCAGACTGACCACTCCAGGTAAACTCTAGGCTACAGGCTGTATTCTGCATGGTTATATCGATGAGTTAATGAGACATTCCTTTAGCATTGCTGGGAATTGGAATAGACATACCGCTTTCTATCCTGAACATCTTCAAACACTTTCAGTTCAAACATGATATAAAATGTGAGGTTTTTACCTCCACGAGCCCCAGTGCAATGCATGCTGCTCCAATCCACACCAGGTTCTTCTTCAAGAACTCTTTGATTGACTTCACACAACCCTGGAATTAATCAATAAAACAAGTCCATCTTTTAATAGAATCAGTAATTACATTCTACAACGGCCGAAGAAATAATCAGACAAATGTTTTATTGAAGCTCAGCCTTACTTCATTTAAGTAACTGGGTGCTAAACAGGGAACAAAAAAGAGAAGATAAAATCTAGGTGGCTGAACAAAACTCATAAAACTTAGTGTTACGTAGAAAAACATCACCTGGTTTTGTTGTTCCTCATTAATTATAATCCTCATTAATAGTTCCTCATCTCATTAATTCTGATCAAGTTTTGTCTGCTTTTGGAACGGTTTGGCTAAGAATTTGGTTGGAATGAAAACACTGGGACCTTTAAGAATCAGGGTTAGAAATTCGTGGGTTAGGCCTAGGTTAGGGGAATGACCTTTAGGTAGATGTTGTCGCTCGTAATGATGTGCCCGCAATCCTCTGACTCCAGGCGGCAGCAGGAATCAGGCACAGCACGATGGTTCTTCCAGCCTCCACTCACAAACCAGTCAGTGTAGTTCTCGGCCCCACAGCAGTGGAACTGGAAGAGCCACACCGCCACACACAAGAGTCAACACACGTGAGAAATGCAGGGGAGATATCCAACCCATAACAAAAAATATCACGAAATGGACATGATTCTCAGAAGTCCTGCAAACTGTACTTTCTACAAATTCCAGATTGCCATCAAGCTGCTTATTCCTGGCAGGGGTCTCCACTAGCTGCCCTGAACTTAAGGGAGCAGAACTATACCCTGCCCCGTACAGGAACTGGAACATACACATTAACATAAGGAGAAAATAGTGTCCATCACAGAGTTTTTTCCAAGTAATGCTAGTTCCCATTTATAATGGGAAGAAAATCTAATTTATACTTGGTGGATTGGGTTAGAAATCCTATTTCATACTGGGTGGAATGGAGAAATTGAGGTAAAGTACCTCAACCAATGTACAACAGCAGTATTTACAGTAGAGGCTTGAACCCTCAACCCACCAGTTGTGAGTCAAGTGAATCACTTGGTTCACCCCTGTTCTTACACAATGAGCACAAAAGATCTGATTGTTGGAAACAGTGTCATAGTTTTAATTTAATCTTATTTTTTTCTTTCATTCATCTACGCATCACCTTATGGTTTTATAAGAGTGAATACAGTATTTTCACTACAGATTGGTTGCCTCAGATGTACTAATATTTGTATAACACTTTCAAATAGGATGCAAGCCTGTCACATGGTTTTACAATACACTGCAGTTCTGTAACGTACGATTAGTGTTTAAGTGTAGCTCAATTAAATCAAACATTCAAACACATTAAGCCTTCCATTTCTTAAGGGGTGTTTTGCTGAAGAACACAGAAAACAAAAATCCTATTTTGCGACTGATTTCTTTTAGTTGTGCAACGCTTCACAGGTTTCACCGTAACATAACCGCACCTGGTCCTGGATGTCATCTATGATGGCTCTGTCCCGAATGTCATACTTTTTAATCACCTCCTTGGCTTTCTTTGTGATCTTGCTCTCTACCTGTAGAGGATGAGAGAGAAGGAACAATATTAAATAACAGTGCTGGGCAGGCCCAGGTTACTCTTACAAGCTGCTCAGAGACTTGGTTAATCTAAAAGTTTAGAGTCTGTGACACCCTGATCATTTCAAGATGGAGGGGAATGATGTGAAGTGTTTCCTCAATTCAGGATCCATCCTTCCATTTTCTAACTGCTTCTACCAATTCAGGGTCATAGGGTGAGTGAGCAACAGGTGCAAGACAGGGTACACTGTGGGTGGGACTCCATTCCATCACGGGGAGACAGACAGAGACACATGCACACTCACACTAGGGCCAACCCACGCAAACATGTGGCAAATAAGAAAACTCCACACAGATAACACTTCTTCTTCTTCTTCTT